GAAATTTATGCAGAAAGTATGCACGCTCTGCTAGTGCCTAATATTTTGGTACACATGCAGGTTCATCAAATGTATTTGTTACTTAGCAAAGTCTGTTATTCCTCCTTAGCTATTAGTGTTTTTATTTTATTATACTATTAAACTATGAATATATTTTTACTTAATTTTACAGCCAGCAGAGCTCTCTAGAAAAACATTTTTCTCTTTTACGCTTTCAGATGTCAAATACAGAGGATTCTGCCAAGGCGTTAAACTCACTGATGTGCAGTGACCGATAAATTCTAACTTTATAATAAGTGCCAAATCATTCCAACTTTTCTTTGTAGTTGCTCCATTAGCAGGAATCCCAGTGGATTCCTTTGGTATTCACATGCATATCAGAACTAATTCTCTGGGAATTTCAGGGCAATTCATCATTTTGCTCTGTGTTTTATGATGCCAAAAAATGTTGCATGCATACATTATAAAATGGAAATTTAGGAATATGCATCACAGCTGAAAATAGAAATCTGAGAGAACTTCTGTTTTCATTAGGCTTCATTTCATTAAATCTTCATTTTACATTTAACCCTTTATAAATAACGAGTTGTGTATTTTACTGGCTATTAAACTATTTTGTGGAAGAGTCTGTGCTGTAGTGGAGTCCTAGGGGAAACTTGTTGTAACTTCTTACCAATGAAGTGTTTGGGGAATGGTTTTCCTGCTCAATATTTGTATTGCTCACAAATTTTTTTCCATCAGAAAGATGTGTGGGATTATATAGCGGGAGCATTGCAGTTTGCATGGTAATAAACACAATTGGTGTAAAATACTCTTCATGATAGTGCTTTAACTGTTACATTTGTAACAAAATGACAGAGGTTATTCTGAGGTTTTGGTTTTAAAAGTGTTGCTGACAGTTCAGAGCATTTCAGAGGCTTCTGAAATGCAGATATATTGGTAAGAACAAATTTGAAAGCTATATATTTTTTCATTGCTCACATAAGCTGTCTCAAATAGCAATATGCCCATCTATATCAAAATGGGATATAGTGGTACATTATTGAAGGCTTATTATTTATTGCATTGGCTTGTTATTTTTTGTATCAAATAACTGTGTGCTTTTTCCTACCTGTGAAACTAAAATGGCACTCCACATTTGTGTAAACCTATGAAAATTGCCACTGGATCTTACTCTTTGTGCATCAGAGTGAAATATTTTTAAAAATATTTTTAGTTATGCTTTTAGTCTTTTATGTTGTTAATAATTCTAGAGATTTTTAAAAACATCTCCGACTACTCCTTTGACTCTGTTTGTAAGGGAATGCATGACTTATCAAGCTGAAGCTAATGTTTTGCATAGGAATATTTTTAAAGACTCAAAGCCAAAATAGAATTGCAAAGCACACTACTGGTTATTTTGTGTGAGACAGTTTAGAATTATTTGGAGACGTTGTGGGGGGTCAATTTAAAGAGCAGACAAAATGTCGTGGTTCTTCAGATGAGATATACTTGTGGCCATTATTTGTGCTGTAGAAGAATGAAGCATCTTTTCTAAGTTTTGCCATGTTTTTGGTAGTGCTTGAAGAATAAAGGAGGATGATGGAGATAACTCTATGTAGGGATCAAATTTGAGGTCATATAAATCAAATATATAATCCTTTGTTAAGTTATGACATTTACTTACATGAAATCATGAGTGGATGCTGCAGGTCATGAGATGCTTGCTGTCTTTGGCTTGGGTTGATTTATGTATCTTTATTTCTTTTTACAAAACCAATGCTCTCTGCATTGCCTGCATACATAAACTCATAAAAGCAACTCTTGGCCACAGACACAGATCCTTCAATCGGCATTTTTCACTGTACCTTTCTGGCAAGTTGAGATCCAAATGCAAATGTTTTTGGTGTTGCTGAAGCTATGGGGCTTCAAACACCAACACTCTCCACATCTAGTAAGGAGGATGCATGCAGCCTTTGTGGAATGGCAACTGCATAAAGCTGTAGCTGCCCTCGGTCTGGACCCCAGCAAAAGCATGTGGCAGGGCTGTAATGAGCATGTGTGCCAGCTGTCTGTTCTCTCTGTGTCAGCTGTATGTTCTGACATATTGCGGGTTTTTTTCTGTTCTTCATCTTTTTCTGGACATCAAGCTTGTTTTCATTTGCAGCATAGCCCTGAGCGCCGCCAGCAATCCCTGCTGTCATCAGGCAGGGTGATGCCTGCAGCTTTGTTCCTCTGGACACGGTGGCACTGGTGGACTGGTCACTTGTGAACAGGCCTTTCTTTGCAGCCACGTGCTTGCTGGCAGTGGGGCCACCCACCTTCTGCAGGCTTTAATTGGGATGCTGCAATCGAGCTAATTTTGTTCTAGGGACAGTCAGAAGCCTTCAGCCTTTTGGAGGCTACCTTTAAAAATAGCACAGTGAACTGCACGCCAGCACAAGCAAAAAATGAGCACTTGTTTGGCTGTGTTTGATCTGCTGGCAGTGCCATTGCTATCCTGCAAATGGTCCATGACCACGTGTGTGGGGAGGTGTGGGGAGGAGCACTGGAGCGTGCTGAGATCCTCAGCTCTGAATGGCTTTCAGCTAAACTAAAGTTCACATCATAATATTGGATTTGGACAATTTCAGGCAATTTCAAAGTTGTGAATTACCTTTGAAAATTATGGGTATTTTTGGAGCAGCTGAACTTTATGGAATGTATGTATGGTTTCCAGAATTGTGAGAGGAGATGGACTGATAAGGCAGTTTTCATGTTGTTCTAGTAAGATGATGCTTCCCTGTGTTGCTCTTATATCATGACTCTTTCCAACTTGAATACTCTCAACTGGCAAAGCTTATCAAAGACTAAATAGACTCTGGTTGGGGAAGATATTCCAAAGTGAGAATTTTTGATAAACCTTAGAGAGTAATGTTTGTTATGATTGCGTGACTGGGATTCAGATGTCCCATCGTCTCTTTGGAAGTCATACAGGTTCCCTTAATGCCCACAAAAGTGAGCAAATGAAGGTTAAGTTTTGGGGTTGCTTCTTCAGTTTGGTGTTCATATTTTTTCCCCAGCAGTGCACTCCTGGTTATTCCCACCGAGTGTTTAAACACTGAAAGCAGCACATAGTCCATGTAGGACCAGAAAGCACACCCTCAGCTACCAGAGGAGTGTCCAGTGGCACAGGGAAACTTGTGGAACTCATGGTACAGTCAAAGAGTCCAAGTTTCCTCCCCAGGCTGTTGAGAAGTGATGGATGCCCAGGAGGTGGTTGTAGGAAGACGTGGGCTTCTGCTGTGAGTAGGTAGCACTGTGGCTCCTGTAGAAAGGCAGGGTAGCACTGTTGTGTGCAGTGCAGGAAGTTGTTTGTCCAAAGCTCTGGAAAGTCTGAAGTTCCCAGAAATGTATTTGTATAGGGACCCCAATCTTGTAATGCTTGAAACATCTCTTGTGTGAGATCTTTGGCAGGTTGAGAGATAGGAACTACAGTAAAAAATGATGTAGGTATGGGAACAGGGGGCAGGGGACAAAGTGTAGATATATATTTAGCATAGTTATTTTGCTTCTGCTGCTCCAACAAGTGACATGCAAATTGTTTTCCACCTGTACTGAACACAGTAGTGTTGAGAAAATGCTGTTCTAAATTTTAGGAATGTGGGCTCTGCAAAAGTTTCTGGGGAAATCTGCAAAAGTTTCAGGAGATAACTGTTCCACCTGTGGAATTACGCTTTAAGAGTAGAAAATAGTTTTCACAGACTCTGAGATTTAATAGGCTTTCACTTTGATTTAAACTGGAAAGTTTTTTCCATGTTTCTGGAAGTGACGCTTCATTAGAGCAAACCTACCTCTTCAGTGTAGTCCAGAACCCTGAGAGTGGGACCACATGCAAGTAACAACAGCTTCATTAAGGTTTGGTTACTAATTAAAAGTTCCTCCTAGCTCATATGCTATAACTCAACTTTGCAATTTATGTATATTATTAGCATAATTATTTTTAGATTATTTCTCTCTTGCTTAGCTTTTTCTTAATAATCAAGACATAATTTCATGTTTATACGTGTGCATATATTGACAGCAGCAATAAAGTAATAGTCTGCAATGTATTCTTGTCCTTCTCTCAGGATAGGCATAGAGAGCCTATCTTTTTCATCTGTGTTACTTTCTAAAGAATGCACTCAGTGATATACATGCTCTTTCATAAGTTATACAAGTAGGGATACAAGATTATTCCATCCCACCATTTGGATGTATCTTAAGGGTGTGCATATTGTACCTGCCCACCTCCTCACTTTACAGATGGAGCATACATATCTGATGTTTAGAAAGGCTTCTCATGACACTTAAAATTCAGCCTTCTTATTGTTCTGATCTTATTTTCTTCATTCATAATTTTTTAAGTATGAATTTGGACTGTAATTAGCAGATTATTACAATTAGGTTTCTGGCTATTGCCTTTTTATTAGCAGGGTAGCAATCCTACCCTGCAAAGCAGACATGTGAGACTCAGCAAACCATGTTGCCACCTCTAGTACATCTTAAAAGACCAACTGGCAGAGTGTCTTTGTGGGTGTCATTGTTTGCAGTCTGGCTGGTTTGGTGTATTGGTAAGAAATATTTTAGTTGCAGTTACTAGGGCTAAAGCAGGGCTACTCTTGGTTAGGTCAGTGAAATGTTTGTAGTGACTGGCTCTTGGAAGAGTGAGCCACTGCTCGGGAGAACCATGCTTGAGCTCCCAGCATGCTGCTGGGAGAGAATTGAGGCAGATAGTGCCTGAGGATGTGTTGTTCCACTGCATTGTTGTCCCTGCCTTCTTTCTCTCTGTGGAATTAACAAAGTCCCACCTGATTGTGAGGAGCTGTTCTGGTTATCCAGTTCACAGCTGTTCTTCCTGTTAATGTGCTCTGGGATAGGGATGGAGAGGATGACCTGAGCATGATGTGCTGCAGGGACAGGGGTTTCCTTCATAGTTGTGGTGCTACCTTTAAATTAGAATTTTAAGATTGATTAACGTGTTTTCTTTGTCTTCCCTGTAGGACGGGTCACTGGGAAATATTGATGATCTGGCCCAGCAGTATGCAGACTACTATAACACCTGCTTCACAGATGTGTGTGAGAGGATGGAAGAGCTGCGCAAGAGGAGGGTTTCCCAAGACCTTGATTTGGTATGTAGAACAGTTACAACTTTATTAACAAATAATTGCCATTCATGCTCCAGATGAAGAATCAATATTACAGCTTGAAGAATTCTACCCAGGGAAATAACTGTACGTGGTTGTGTTCACGCATGCAAACATTTCAGCCAACTCAATTAAATGCTTGGAATTAGCCGGATTAGGTTTTTTCTAGGTATTTTTTATGATTCATTAAGCCTTGGAGTCTGCATTTTTTATTTCTTCTTTAATTAGAGTACTTCTTGCTTGCATACATTTGGTTGCAATCCTCAACTCTCAGAGGCAAGGCACTGTCTGACTAAAGCATTGTTTCCTTGCTCCAAGATGATCCCAGTGTGAGCACAGTGAAACTGTGAGGTTTCCAGTTGCGCTGCACAAAGTGTAAAGAGGGGCTTCTCAAAAGTCCAGGGTGCAAATACTGGTTCCAGGCTCCCAAATGTAAGCAGTTCTGCCAACTCCTTTCCATTAGTTTATAGAACCTGTAGCAGGTGATGCGGGGTCACAGAGCTTTTCAGGATGGATGGGACCTCAGGAGGTCCCTAATCCAGCATTCAGCTCAAAGCAGTGTCAACACCGAATTCAAACCAAGTTGCTCAGGGCTTTCTCACTGAGTTTGAAGACCTCCAGGGATGCAGATGCTGCACTGTCTCTGAGAAACCTGTTAATACTGCTTTGCTATCTTCATAGTGAACTTCTATTTTTAAATAATGTGTTGTGAGATCCTCCCCATAGCAATTTATACCTGTTGTCTGTTCTCATGAAACACGCCTTTTTGATAACCTCCCCACAGATACCAGTAGATCATCTTGAAACTGTCTTTTCTGACAGTTTGGAGCTGATTCTCCCAACTCTTCTTGCTGGGCATGGGCAAAAGTCCTTGAGAGTGCCTTGGTAACAGCTGATGATGTGGATTATTTAAGGCTATTTTCTTTCTTTTTGGGATTCCAGGATACCAACTGAGAGGCTTCCAGAGTTTGTAGAGACTAAAAACTTCAGTTACACAATTAGTGGCAGCAGAATCAAGGCAGGGAGTCATCTTCTGCCCCACTGAAGTTTGTTAGTTTCTTCTTTATTTTTACATAGAAAAAAAAAGCAAATGTTTTTGCATATCTGTTGCTGCCAAGAAGTTCCAAGGGTTAAACAAAAAGCTATTGCGGGAAATTCTTTTGTAGACGGACCCTTAAGGCTTCTGTGCAGAGAAGTGATGGCACAGAACTGTGATTCTCATGAAAACCCCCACACCTGGCAGGCCTGGTATTCTCGGTGGCCGTTGGCAGCAATGAAACCCCCTTTCCTGGTGCTCTTGGAAGGCAGCTCCTGTGCTGGGTAATGGACTGTGCCTTATGGCAGGAGAGGACCCCTTCCATAGACAGATGGGCCTGATTTGGCTCCCCTCACTTCTGAAGCTGCAGAAGCCAGGCTGGAAAAAGCTATGTGAGCTTAATTAACTCACATCAAAGGTGCAGATCTTCACGCTGGTTTAAATAGACATGAGCTAACCAAAGACAGAACATCAAGTGATTCATTCTATTCCAGAGAAGCTGTAGTCAGAGAAAGTGGCTGTGTGAAAAACAGCCTGAAGAGCCTATCCTCTTCAGCCTCTCTGATACTGAGTTTGCTTACTCTAGTGGTCCAGTGATGACTTCCTGAACTGCCAGGTTAGAGAGAAGACAATGCAATTGAAAATTAAATTAGTGCTCCATTTTTGCTACATCTGTCACTCCTATAATGCATTTTCTAGACATAAGATAGCCATTCTGCTGATAACATATGAGCCTATAGATATTAGCTCACTTGCCCAACAACTGCATCCAAACAGTGCTGACTGCAGCTGAATCTTGCTCTCATCAATGAACAGGCAGGCTTGACTTAGCTACACAGAGAGAGGGAAATAGCCATGTAGACCAGAATGTGATTTTAGTGTGATGAGCAGAAGAGTGAGTCACTTGTTCTGGTGGTTTTTGTCTCTGTACACCTTGAGGAAAGGCAGTGTATTGGCAGACATTTGGGGATAGTGAATGGGAAGTAGTGCTGGGGTAAATGCCCAATGCACATCCCAGATGTGCTATGATAACAAAGAAAAAAAAATGTACCAGATAGCAAATATATGCAGCTCTAAAATTATTATGCACCAGCATTGTGGGTCTGTTAGCCAAGGCTGACCTTGCTCTGCCATACATTGCTCTTCTAGCACAGATGAAGAAAGCAGTGTTGTCTCTACATTCGGTCTTCCCAACAGTGGGGTTGTTGCTAGAGCTGGAGGTGGGCAGTGTATCAGTTCTTCCTCCCCTCCCCAAAGGTCTTCTCCCTCTCTTTAGTGAAGTGAACATAGCAGAGCTGACATGCATGCAGTATTAGTGCAGATTTTCAGGGGTTTGATGGAGTGGTGGTTACTGAATCCATATGAAAATGCAGTATTGAGTGCATAAAATTACTTAGCAGAAACATAAAAGGTTAGGTTAGGTTGCTGCTTTTACTGAATGCTCTGAACAAAGACAAAGAGCAGGTCACTCCAGGAGTCAAAGCATCCTGTAAACCGTGCACAGAGAGGCCCTGTCAGGAGGAGCAGTGCAATAACAAAGACATGCCTGAGCTGGCAGAGCTTTGGCAGGAACATGTATTTAGCACCGGCTCGCCCAGATTGCCCTTTGTAGCACGTCCACTGGAAGGACAGAAATATGAACTGTTTATTGCTGCTTCTGTACCCTTTGAAATAATTTAAGCTGTTTGGGCGCAAGTGTTGATATCTTGATTGTATATTGTACTTTCTAATCAGCTCTCCAGCCTTTCCTATCACACCATGGCCATTTCAGTCTAGATATCCTGCTCTGAAGTTGAATTTCAAAAAAAATCACTTGGTAAAATTATTTGGCAAAGCAGCATATCTTGTAACAAAACAGTGGGTGCAGATGGAGTTGAACCCAGAATATTTTTCCGAATGGCAGTGTTGTCAAGGATTGTTAGTTCTCCCTAAACACGATAACTGCTTTCTGTGTTTGGAGTTTTGCCTATGTTTTTGTAATGAAGAATGTGCTTGGGTTTGGACGCTAATGTTTGTGAACAGCATGGGAGTTGCCCACATTTCCTAGCATTTGGCCTATTCCTGTACACCATGTGGGCTTTTGGCTGAGGAAGAACTGCAGGTGGAGTAGATAGAGTGGATTTTCAGGCCCATAATGAATGTATCACTGGTAATATTGAGGTGGACATCTGCTAAAATATAGTTGTGGCCAGAGAAGTGACTCTGTGAGGATAGTATTTTCTAACTGGTCACATGACATCCTTGTCTTTAAACTGGAGAGACATGAATTAGACAGATGAACTGCTCAGGTGTATAAGGAAGTGGCTGGATGGCCACACTCCGGTGGCTCAGTACCCAAATGGAGATCAGTGATGAATGGTGTTCCTTAGGGAACACTGTTTGGATTGGTGCTGTTTAACATCTTGCTGGTGACAGGGAGAGTGGGATCAAGTGCACCCTCAGCAAGTTTGCTGATGATTCCAAGCTGAGTGGAGTGGTTAACACGCTGGAGGAGAGGGATGCCATCCAGGGCTACCTGGACAGGCTTGAGAGATTGACCTGTGAAGCCTCATGACATTCAAAAAAACCAAGCGCAAGGTCCAGCAAATGTGTTGGGGCAATCCTGTGCACAGGTACAGGCTGGGAGGAGAATGAATGAAGAGCAGCCCTGGGGATAAGATTTTAATGGTGTTGGTGGATGAAAAACTTGACATGACTTGCAGTGTGTGCTCGCAGCCCAGAAAGCCAACCAGACCCTGCGCTGCATCAAAAGGAGTGTGGCCAGGAGGTCAAGGGAGGTGATTCTTCCCTTCCACTCTGCTCTGCATCCAGTTCTGGGGTCCCCAGCACAGGAAAGATGTGAGAGAACTAGGTTCATTCCACCTGGAGAAGAAAAGGTTCCAGGGGGATCTCACTGCAGCCTTCCAGTAGCTAAAGGGGGCTACAAGAGAGCTGGAGAAGCACTTTTTACAAGGGCATGTAGTGATGGGGTGAGATACTGGAACAGAGAAATTGTGGGTGCCCCATCCCTGGAAGTGTTCAAAGCCAGGTCAGATGGGGCTTTGAGCAATCCCATTGCAGTGAGATTGGAATGAGATGATCTTCAGGATGTGTTTCAACACAAACCATTCTATGACCTGCTTCCTTTGTGTCTCAGGGGTCATACCTGCATGGCTTACTGACAAAAGCAGCTTTGTCTTGCCTGTCAGCAGGGCAGGGCAGGACAGTATTGACTTAGCCACGAAAGAGCAAACTGCATTCTGTTGTCTCATCTATCACTGACAGCAGCCAGCTAACTGCTGCTGCCGAGGTCTGTATTGGAGCTGATGAGCTTGAAGTCAAAGAATGGCTTGAGGTTTTCTGATGGACTCTGACAGCTACAGTTGGGGCACTGAGAAGTTGCATCCATCTTTTGTCTTGCAAATTGTATAAAATTAATGCCACTGAAAAGCTAAATGGCATAGTAGAATACTTTTTTCCCACATTCACGTAATTAACTTCATTGTGTAGAAAGGGAAGTGTTCAAAATCTCTCTGTACACTGTGATAAAGTACAATGAATGTATTTGGAAAAATTACCTTGCCTAATCCTGGCTGTTTTTACAATACCTGCACATGTACACAGTCAAAGCCAGAAAATACAAAATAACATAAAACAATCATAAGTTTCTTGTCCTATTTCCAACATCAATGTAGTCTTCCTAAGTCTTGTCTGTGCATGGTTTTATGAGATGCTCAACATCCAGTTTTTTGTTTACAGATGGAGTTGACCATGTAGGTAATGTCTTCCCATATAAATGGTATGTACAGCAAGAAAAAGGGGAGGAAAAGCAGCAAAAGTAGAGTAATTAGTAATTTGAGTGATAGAATAATAATGAATTTTCCTCTTTACAGCTGCATTTGTCTGTTATAGTACTACTGGTTGGCATTATCATCAGGCTGTTTGAGAAACTAGCCAGCGTTTGCTGAAG